CACCATAACAAACTACTAATGCTAACTGTACCCACAGTGCAGTGTACACTGCTTTTTTGTATCGCGCCATGTTCAGTGCATTTGGTTGGCTCGGCTGTTGTTGGACATGATCTTGTACTTGAGCCTGATGATGACTGAGATCCCGAAATATTTTTATATACGAGGCGAATGAAATGACAAGGCAAGGTGATGTAACTATATGGCCATACCAAACGGTTATACGGTAATCTAATGTGTAGCATAAAGCAGCGACGCTAGATGCAATCCAAAAAGTAGCTACAATGATGTATGTGCGCTTCAAAGTTACAATTTGTCTGTATCTTAGCCTTAACAGCAGAGCAAGAAGTCTGTCCACGCTTATGGCCGTTATTGTCATCAAAGACACTACACATAATGTAAAGGCTGTGATGATGGCTGCGTCAAATGCGTATCGACAAAGACTCCAGTGTTCCTGAACCACACACACCCAAACAGTGACGTAGAGAGGCTGACAAACAAGACCAACCAACAGATCAGTCGTTGCCAGACAACGATACAAGAGTTTGGACGGCGGATGAAGGGAAGATTCTCTGTGAAGGGCAACGATTATAAGAAGGTTCCCAAGAAATGCTGTGATGGAAAGGAGACTGTAGATTGTCAAGAAAAAAATTTTAAGTTCTTGTCGAAGCATACCAACTAGAGGCGGGGAGCAGTAAAGTTCTTGTAGTGTTTTTGTTGTCGACATTATTCTGTGTTCGTTTCCTTTTTGTTAGACTGAAATTATCTGTGAATGCAACGAGAAACAGTTCGTCTAAACAGCAACAACAGCAACTCGATGAACAACTTATAAAACCTTAGTTTCCTTAAGCTCCGCCTTTAGCAACTCTAAGCAATCTTTCAAGCTGTAAAATTACCGCGTGCTTCATATCGTACACCGATGAACAATTTAGTTGTTAAACTCTGTCAAAGTTAAAGACATTAGATAGCATTTAAAATGTGTCGGGAAACTGTCAGTTGTGGCTAAAACGTTACTTTTTTCCCGGAACTTTTGAGGTGCCTAAAATGGCATAAAATAGCAATAAAAGACAAGCTAAATAATGAGACATCTATCGTATCATTTTAGAAAGAGCAGCAAACAATCCCTCTTTATTTGATAGGGTTCAAATTTCCATATCATCTGTGTGAAGTTAAAACTTTAGTCATTATCAACCTCGGCAAGGTGGAATTAAACAAAGAACAAAAGCTGACGGTTTTGCTT